CGAAGAAAGGGTGTCGCCTGTGGAGGGGGCGGGAGGGAGAAGCCCGATACTCCTGGCATGGCTGCCAGGTCCTGGGGCTCAGGAGTACACAACTGCCACGTTGTGGGGAGTGGGGGGGGAAGAGGTGAATAGATTCTGGGTAATTGCATCATTGTGCAACACAAGCATGACACGCAGGTTGTATATTAAAATTTATTGAATTATTGTGTAAGAATTCTCTTTATTAAAATCATTTGGACTCTAAACTGATTATTTACAGACAAAACCTCTTATATCACCAATAGATTCCTACATCTCAGAACAGTATCTACAAACAGTTATTACACTATGTAACAAAATTCAGATTTTTTTCAAGCTTTTTATATTAATAATTAATTCCAATTTGAGAAAGACAGTACCTCGGGTGCTCTGAGCAGAACTCAAGGTGTGGCAGGGCATAAATGCAGGTCAGGCCATACCGTAACAGACAGACACCAAGTCACAAGGCTGGGAGAGGGCAGAGTCACCAGGACAGAGGACCGGGAGAGAGACTATTAGAGCAAATGCATTGGGTGTTCTGGAAACCAAAAGCATTATCCCGACTAGAAAGGCACCAAAAAAGCAGCATCTCGCTGCAACTGGGGCACACCTTGAAAAAGAAATGGCATTCCACCGAGGCAGCGGCATCTGAGAATCCTCCATTTTCGTTAAAAAAAAATGAGCCATAATTTCTACAAAAAAAAAAAAGGAAAAAAATGTTTCCAAGTACAGCCTAAATTTGCCACCAGACAGATAAAAGCAAGCGCTCCCACATCCAAGTGGCGTGGGTGCCAGCTACTCTTAGTCGTGCCGACTGGAGAGACATTCAAATACACTAACAGATATTTATCTTAACACTGATCAGTTCTCCGTCTTTCATCCAGACCACTGCGGAAGCAAGTTTCATTCTCTGACCACAGCACTAAATAAATCTTAATGCCTGCCATTCAAGAACATCACCTTCTGAGAATACGCTTAAAGTGGCGACATGCCCTCGCTGCACTCGTGTCTTGCAGAAGGGGAACGGTGGCTGTGGCGGGGAACTCTCAGCTGGCGCCCACAGAACGTGGTACCTGTAAGAAACCAGGAACATCCAGAGAGGATTCTCCATCCTTGAGAAGGAACGTCCATCTCCAGAGTGTCTGACAAGCTGGTCAGGGAATCAGGCAGCGACTGGAAGAAACTTGGAAGGATCGTGAGAAATAAATAAATAAGTCCTCCCTGCAATAGGGAATTTCATAATAAAACCTGTTTTGTGCAAATTTAAATGCAACAGAACCCTGTCGTAGTAATGGATTTTGCCACAGGAGAGGAGCATGGACGGAGAGAAGAGGGGCCATGCCTAAACACCCAAGTTGATCCCGGCAAGGAGCCTTCAGTGCATGTCCACAGGGGAGGAGGATGCTGGTATCTAGAACACACGGATGGGAAGAGATGGGCACCACCAGCTTTCCACCCTCACTGCACCTGCGCTGGGCAGCGCCTCTTGTCCAGGTACGCAAGGACAAGCTCAAGACGTTAAATAAGTCAATCACCTACATTTAGCTCTGTTTTTAAGTCTCGATTATTGCTCTAATAAAAGCAGACTTTCGCAGATACGCTCAGAGAAAGCGGATTATTTCCAACATCCAGCAGCACTACTGAGAAGCAAAGAGGACGCGGAGCCCACTGACCCTACGGCCTGTCAGCCACGTGGGCAGAGGCTGTGCTCTCAGCAGAGACACCTGGACTCCTGTCACTATGATTCCAGGAGAGCCACCAAGTCCTCCTCCCTTTGCCAATGTGGATTCAGAATTAGGCCCCAAGCCACCCTGTTCTGCAAAAGTGCAGAGATAATTCTGAAAAAATAGGGGCAGACATTAACAGTCTGCAGAGCCGTAAATCCCACAGAGAGCCTGTGGCTCCTGGCAGACACTCAGCAAACTGGAGAGGCCACAAACTACACCTCGCTGCCTGGGGCAGAAAGTCCATCCGTCAACACACAAGGGGACAACGCAACTCTGCCACTACACCTGCACCTGCCTCAAACCAAGGAATTGCCTCCTGCAGTTCCCAAGGGAGCAGGCTCTGCTAATGTGCATTGTAGCTGCTTTTTCCCATCTGCCAGTCCTTTCCTCCACCCAGCTTTTTTTGGGCTGATTTAACCAGATTTGGTCGAGACAGAGGTTTCAGAGATGCTAAGATCCCATAAGTTTACTGGAAATGGGTGGTCGGGCAGCAGTGAAACCCAAACTGGTGCCCACCTCAGGGAAAAGAGGCAAACTGTGCCCCCCGCTTCTGCCCGGCAGCAGCCAGCCCGCTCGCCTCCTGCTCCGTAGAGCAGGACAGGAGCAGGAGGTGGCACAGGGGTCTTGGCCGTACCCTGGACACACAGAGTACCTGGGAATACTGCTGAGAGGGTCACAGGAGAGAGCTGCCTTTGTAGGAAGGGAGGCCAGCATTAGCTTGTTTTGTTATATTGCTCAGAGAACAGTTTTGCAACTGCACAGCACTCACACAAAGCCACAGGGCTGATCTGATATATGCAGATAATTACTGCTATATGCAATGTCAAGGGAGGTAGGGACATGACCCTGCCCTGTTTTAGCTCAGGTCCCTCCTGGCCCGCACAATCACCCCTCAGGGACGTGACAGAGGAGTCGGACCTGTCCACCTGCCCCAAGCACGCAGGGCATCAGCGTGGAATTAGCAGCAGGGGGTGAGAACAAGTAGGGCACCCTTATAAATAGGAATTTGCTCCCAGAAGGGCAGAGTACTCTGTTCACAAGGTGCAGGAACTGAGGAGGGAGCAGCAAGGAGCTGCCCAGTGACAGCTGGCAAGTAACTGTGCTCGTACCTGCTCCAGCCTCTCCTTCCTCGCACAAATCATTCCCGTTTGCAGGACACCTGATGCTCCTTGGGAACAACGCAGTTGTGCTTCATGGCTTCCTCGAGTTCACAGCCCACCCAATAACCCTTGTATGTGCCACAACAGGAGAGTCTGGGAAGTGAAACTGAGTAAGGTGTAAGGCAAGCCTAGCAGAAGAGCACACAGCTAAGCCTTGAACTGAGCTGCGGGCAAAAGCAAGCTGCTGTTACGACAACGGAGACATCTACGAGTTATCCCTGCAGACAAAGCAGTGGAGAAAACTTTGCTCCAGTGCTGACAGACGTTTGTCAGTAGAAGTGCACAGAGATACTTCTCCAAGAAAAGCTTTGTCTCAAAGCCACAAAATTAAACATTCTCCTTTAGCATTTAAATACATTAACTTTCTGAGAATATTTACAAGTCCAGTTCAGAGCAGCAGAACAGCTAGACACCGGAGGAAGGGGAAGTGGCACAAGGCATTTGTTGTGCTTTTCCAAGAAGCAGGGCAACCTCTGACCACAAGGAACCAGGAAGATGGATCCCAAGCTGGGTCAGCGGAGGCTGAGGCGAGCCAGGCAGCGACTCTCACATGCTGAATTTGTCCTGAGGGAAAGGGTGAGGGGGTGGTGTCCATTTACAGTAGGCCCCTGGACAAGCACGCATGCTGGTGAGCACGTTACGTCCAAGCAGGTGTCACGTGCGAGCTGTCAGAGACCAGAACACTGGGGAGAAAGAGACCTTTGCCATCGGATGCTCTCCTTTCTACATCCAACATCTGGAACAAGTGGGGACATTGCTGCAAGGAAGTTTCTCAGATGGGATACCGCAAGAGGGCTCGTTAGCTGGGGACAGAGGTTGGCACAGCTGTCAGCCTGGGGAAAGCTTCCTGTGTCCCTGCCAAAATGAGCAGCTGCAGCAGGGGAGTCTCCCAGCACTGGCAAGGGCACCCATGCAAGGCCAAGGACTCCACAGACACGGTGCTTGGTGCTGTCACCTGGCTCTTCAACGTCATTTGGAAACTTGGCACATTCATGTAACATCTGTAGGAAGGAGCTGTGTGGTCCCCCTGACAGTCTGCCAGAGGAAAACCAAAGTTTGTTTTTTTGTTTGTTTTGCTTTTAAAAAGAAAAAACTGTAAAAAAATATTCTCTGAGATGCAAGGACGCTTGTACTTTGTACTGCCTTGGCCATCCCTGTTCATGTCACCTGCGGGTTCCTTGGAGAGTCTGGTTCCAATGGCAGCAGGACACCCTGTGTATAGCTAGGACGAGCACTGTCCCCAGATCAGTCTGTCTGTGCCTGTCACAAATCTGTGACTTTATTCTCCACAGCTGCTGCAATCTGTTGTAGTCTATACCCGAGCTGCATCTTCTGTGCCGTTGGGTCTTCTTCCAAAGCAGTAATGATCTGCAACGAGACAGATTGTCAACACTATCAACCAGCTCAACTCCATGCACCATGGAGAGCCTCAAGCTGGAATCTAGCCTGCTCAAGACTAGAGTGGGTAGGTAGTAATCCATCTCAAATTAACCATAAAATAAATTCTAGAATTCTAGGTTCGTCCTAATAATTTAAAAACTTCATAGTGCAAAAAGAATGCTAAACTTCTCACCTGAAAATGATATCTTTAGTAAATGAATCTGAAATAACTGCACTTCAGTTTTAAGTAGAGTGTTTGGATATCGGAGTCAAAAAAAATAGGAAGCATACACAAAATTCCAACAACCTCCAAGTTAGAGATTAAGTCCTTTTTTGTGATTTCCTCCTTCCCTCTTTGATAAGAATAAAGCAAACTTACGACATGGAAGTTGCGCATGCCAATGAAACAATATAGAGCATTGTAATTGTCTGGCTGCTCTTAACTGTTAATTTTTGGAGGTTGGATGGTAAAAGGAGAAGGGCATGTTCATACCTGCTGGAAATACACACTCACCTGGTCATAGTACTTATTTATGTACTTGTACAATTCATGTAGAGCCACCAGGGAATTGAGGTCACCTGAGTAATTCTGAATAAGAGAGGAAGTTAGACAAAACTGTGAGACACCTAACAATTGTTGTTCTAAATCCCGTGTCCTCACAACTCATTAGGAAATGTGCCTGTTGCATAAAGCAACAGGAAAGGGAATTCATCAGCAGTTCCTAGTGAAGGGAAAAAAAAAAAAAAAAAAACATATCACACATACTCCTTGCCCTGAATCCTTGACTATACTTTTCTCTTCAGTGCTAGCTGGGCAGACCCTTGCCCTGCCCTCCTTGTGGTGCCACAAAGCCGAGCAGCCACTGGGAACGGTCAGTACATCTGAGCAGAGCTGCACACTCAACTGCAATATCTCATCTTTGCATTACTAACTTTCTCTTAGATGCACAGGTGAGGGGCCAGGGTGACTGCTGAAATAATTTTATTTACCCGCGATAGCTCAGCCAGGGCAGAGTTCATCTCCTGGTCACTGGCAGAGATGGTCTGACGAATGTCCGCATAATACCTGTACAATGGCACACAGGCAATTAGCATATTGTTCCTCCTAGCCTCCTTCTTACTGCTTAAACTATGACTCCTCACATTCATTGCTTACCTTTCCACCATCTGCTTGTAGCGAGGAATGTCCCGGGCATAGAGCAGCTTATTGATTGGCGAGTCCTTCAACATCCAAAACCAGAAATTGATTACAAAAAGTTCCTTCATCATGCTGTGGACTAACCTTAGCAGGTAACACCATCACTGCTATTTTCTGTCATTCATTCAGGATTGGGAATTTTTGTCCTCTGCATGGAGAGGCATTTCAAATTCCAGGCTCCCTTCTAGTAATGCAGTCTGAGGAACCATGAGATATGCTGGTGAAGGGACCTCTGGGATCCCTCGTCCAGCCTTCCACTTGGAGCTGGGTGATCACCAGTATGAGATCACATTGGCTATGGCTTTGCATAGCTGATTCCTGAAATCCTCCAGGCATCCAGCCATCCCGTCTCCGGTGACCTGTGCAGGACTGTTCCACACTCAGCACAGGGTGAGTAGTGGTGGTAAAAAGTTTTTCTAACGGCCAACCTGAATCTCCCAAGATGCAGCCTGTGACTTACACTGTCTGCCACAGCCAGCTGGAGTTTAGCTCTGTCCCCCAAGTAGCTGTAAGCTGTAAATAAAGAGCACCCCTCAACAACTTCAGGATGCTAAACAAAAATCAGCTCCTCCCTCCTCTCTTCCCAGGAGTGCCCATCACTCTCCAGGGGCACATGGGAGCAAGGATGGGCCTGGCCTGCTGTCCCAGTGGTGCTATGTAAACATTATTGCCTTCCTGGGGCAGCACTGCCCAACTATCGGTGCCATCATGCTCCCTTCTACCTCGGCACTTACCCGCCCTAACTTATGGTCAGCTATCGTACAGGAGTCCATGAAGGTCTGCGCAATGACCAGGAGCACAGCATCTACGTTATCTGACGTCTGCACATCAAAAACAAACTGTGGATTCTTGATGATGTTGATCCAGAACCGCAGGGGCAGGCTGCAGAGAAGACAGAAGCGCAGTAGGGTATCAGCATAGGTAGCAGCTGTGGTGCTGAAAGATATTCTGCACATTACTGCATCTCCCAGCTTTGCGCTCCCAGCAAAACCAGCTTTTCACCGTGCTCTGCTACCTTGCACTCCCATTTTGCTCCTCCTCAGTAGGCAAAGGTGACTGTCACTTTGCAAGTGATCAGCTCTAGACAGCTTAGCAGTGCCTTCTCCGGGGCCCACAGGAACACCATACCTGTTTGTCTTCCAGATGTGGATGGTCTCAGGGTCTGCAATCCCATAGTGTATTGCCTGCTCATCCAACAGGTCAAAGAAGTATTTGACTGCCAGAGGGACAGGGCGGTTGGTACTGAGGATCACCTGGAACAAGTCATCCACAAACTTCTGCAGAGTGCCCTGTGGAGAACCGAGCAGGACGGAGTCAGCACAGGCAGAGGAGAGTGGAGAGACCGGGGCTCACACACATGAGAAGTTACTCTCTTCTGCTCACCAACCTCCCCTCACTGGTCCAAAGCTACCTCCCCTCCACTGCAGGGAGCTGCAGCAAAGGAGAAAGGAGGTCCCAGCAATTTCTGGAACAGAGGCCAGGGAGAAGCTCAGGAAGAAAGCAAAACGCCGAGGGGAGTCAGGTGTACTCAGAGCCACTGCAGGTTAAGGGGATTGCTGCAGGGGAGAGAGCTTGCAACATGATGCAGTGGCACCGAACCATAGAGACTGCCTAGTGGAGGGGGACTGCTGGCTGCCAGCAGCTGTATTCCACCGGACAAGAACAAGGAGGAGGGTTTTGCTCAGCAGCAAAAGGAAGTTCAGTAAATGCGGGAAGAACACAGGCACTGCCTGGCAAAGTGCCTGGGCTGTCCCTTGAGGAATGGTACTACTGCAAGCAGGGCATTGCTGGGGAACCTGGATGCCAAAAAGCTGACCCTTTCTTAAGGACAGAGCAGAAGGACAAATTCCTGGCTCAATTTTTTAACAATGACACTGGAATAAAGCAAAAAGGAGCAAGCAGGCACTATGCCTGATTTATGACTGCAGCTGAATCTGTACATGGCTGGTTTGCACTATTAGCATGCAGCAGGTAACAGGTCAGTCCTATCTTCTTGGCCCTGAGTGGGGTGGAAGGTGAGCAGACCTGGCAGCCCGGTGAACATTGCTGCCAAAGAAACTCTGCTGTGAAGTACAGGGTACCTGATTTTTTCTGTGGGACACACAAAGACAAACATGGGGTAGACACAGGGATAAAACTATTTCTCACTCTCCTAGAGACTCTGCAAAACTTAACCCATTAGTAGGAGTACAAGTTTGGCACTGCAGTGCTGGGATCGGAGGGGAAACAACCGGCATATACATCAACCCAGGCAAAGGGGCTCCTCATCATCACACACATCCCTGCAATCTGCTGGGGGATATGAAGGAAGGCAAGATCCCAAGCACAACACAATCAGTGCTGCTTCTCACCTTCATTGAGAGTAGACGTGTCAGATAGATCTCTGGGATTGCCTTGGCTCGCTCCCGATCTCTTAAGCTCCCACGCCGATGCTTGGGAAGCTCTGGCTCTTCTGTTGGTTTTACCAGGTGCCAAAGTTTGATCCCGCCTTCATCTGCATCCTCCAGCATTGGTGTTTCTAAAACAAGCAATTGTTTACAGATGAGAGTCCATTCTCTCACAGCAGGGCTTGGCCAGGTAAGCCCCAAGGAAGCAAAATTTCACACTATGATAGAAACACAAATGGGAAAGAACCTCTGAAGGCCTCTATCCTGCCATCTGCACAGAGTATACCTGTTGCTAGCACTACAGCACATTGCTTTTGTCCACCCAAAACCTTCAAGGTCTTGGAAACTTCCCCAGACAGAGATCCTCCATCACCCCAGTGGTCTGTTCCAGGGCTGCATCACCCTTTTGCTGAATAAGTTAGTTTTTTTTTTTTAACACATCCAGTTTGAACCTGTTAAAACTGCAGCTTGTGGTTATTGTCCCTTCGTGCCACACGAGTATCCATGGAGCTGTTTGCTCTGCCAGGCAGTAAAGTAACTGCCTGTCATCCCGTCACCACCCTTGGGCCACACTCAGCACCTGAGATATTAAGAGTCTTATATGTTGCAGACTGCACTCAGCCCTAGAGAGTCAGAACTAGAGAACTGTGCTTATCCTGCACTTTCATGCCCAGCCTGGCTTTCCTCTGCTCTTACACTCTTGCTTTTCTCCCATCTCACCTGCCCAAGTTTTGAATTTCCTGACAATCCTATGAGGGTCCAAATCATGTATCAGCCTTCTATTGCAGCGTAAAGCTGGGACTATGGCAAGAGACTTGTCCCATTAGCTGTCAAGTGCTATAAAATAATTTTATGAGAACAGGATGTCAAACTCACTCTCTCCTGGGATGTAATCCTGATTCTCCCTATGGATGTGCTTGGTCAGGCGTGGGACCAGTGCTACTGTTGCTCCATCAGGCACCTGCACACAAACAAAAATCAGCATTCAAAACAAAAGGTATGTTTCTCATCAGTACAACAGGCATGTGCTTGTAGACCACAACAGACTATACCGTTACTAGAAATAGGTACAAAACCAGGGATTTTGGGCCACCATCACTGTCTTTCCTGATGGTGGAAGAATCTTGTTTGTACCAATTAAACTGTTGTGCAAAGTACAATGAAGATGATAATATTCAGGGACTGAGGTCATTCACATCTAGAACATGTTGCAGCAAGGTATGACATACTGGTGCAAGATATGACACATTAGTGCAAGACAGTTAAAAAAACCCCCTCTTTCCATTCCTAGAAGCTGCTTCCCAGATCAGTGTGCCATCACCTACTAACTGATTTGGACTGGAACATTAACAGATCCAGCAGCTTCACCTTCATTGTAACAGACACCAGGCATGAACTTGAGCGTCTCCTTCCAAGCTCACACCTGCCCAACGTCTCAGGTGGGGGTTAAGGAGGGGGCTATACTTGTTGAAGTCAGAGTGCAGGCCACAGCACTGACTTAATTTGAATATGCTGCTGCAAAAAAGCTCCAACCTTTTGACAATGATGCAGCAGGAGCCAGAGCCACAAACACAGCATAACAGTGTGTAGAAGATGAGAGGAGAGACAAGGCAACAGTAGACTGAGTTCTGACCTTGTAATGCTGAAGAGTGTTCAGGCGTTTCCAAGTTCCTTGAACAACAGATGTCACATCCTCATCGGACAGTATCAGATGACCTGCCAGCCCCGATCTCCACTCTACAGCCGTTAAAACACAGAAAATTGAAAGAAAATCTGTTAATTTCAGGCATCTCTGAAGTCTGCTGTGCTTCAACCTGGTTGACCTCATTATGCACCCGCTGATCCTTGTGAACCTTTACCCATGCTATTTCACAGACAGCTTAACCTGAGCAAGTGTCTGTAACAATGCCGAGTCCTGCAGTCACAGGACAGTCTGTCTGAGCACAGGGACAGGCAGCCTCATGGTTCCTCTCACCAAGTTCCTACAAATTCTGTCAGACTGTAAATCTTCAAGCAGCTGATGCAAACCACAAATATGCACCCATAGTCCTTATTAGCTACTATCCCCCCAGTACCTGCTCATCTATAAGTGTCACCAGTATTCAGCAACAGCTAAAGAATGAAGAAGACAGAAAACTGAGCAGTTTCCCTCACAATGTAAGTCCTACCTTTCATTAACCACTGTGGGCAAAATATTCCCTGACACACAGTACTGAGATGCTGCCATTGACTTCACTGACAGGAAGAGCCAACCTACGACTACAGCATCTCTGTGCTGCACTCAAATCCTCCTCCTCTCCTACACGTTCTCCATGCTTTTTTCCCCCCTTGCCCAAGCCATTGCCATTGTCCAAGTCTGGCAAAAACACCATGAAATGGGAGAGGCTGGACCCAACTGCTTCTTTCCCACCCTTGCCTCTTGCTGTTAGCCTCTTCCCTGCATTATGCCTTGTTGGGTCCAGCCAGAGTACAAGATCCTTGGTCAGTGGATCACTCTGCACACTCAGCAGAGAACGACAAACGTCATGCATGCCAGGGCGCTGGGCACAGAGAGCAAATGAACACTCTTCCACTTCCTCACTGAGTTTTGGCACCAAGGAGTTCTGCTCACCGAGGTCCAGGGTGTCTGGGTCTGGTCGGTGACAGTATGGCGTCCCTTTATAGATCTGATCTAGGATTTTCTCCTTCACCTGTGTTATGGTATCACAGTCCAGCACTTTTGCAGAAATCCCTTGGGAGTCCTCTGCCCCTCCTGCAGCGACTCCTGCTTGTGTCAAAGCATTTAAGGTCTGGGGAAGAAAAGAAAAGGTCACAGCTACTCAGCTGATAAGATTACATCTGACACATTTACACCTTTGATGATTGGCATTAAGGCAAGTTAACAGCTAGTCCTTTCACTGGAAGAGTTTCAGAAAAGAAAACATCACAGATGTTAAACACTGCATTCTCAGTCTTGTGTCAAGAGCTGGAAGCCAATTCAACAGCGTTGGGCAGGGGTTTCAATGTGCCATCAGCAATTTCATCCCCTTATTTCTAGACACAGGGCACAGCACACACATCAGATTACTGTGGTGATGGTTCCTATCAGCCTAGGGCAAAAGCGCCTGATTTCGCAGACCTCTTGGTCACCTATAGAGTTGTGCTGCTGGGATAACCCTGGCTCCCAGGAGACAGTGGCAGGATGCTGCACTTCTGCCTCAATAATGGGAGCAGAGACATTCAGCCCTGTCACACTGGAGAGCCCAGAGGGAACAGAAGATTTGGTACTTACCAGAGTCCGGTACTCCAGGTCCTCTCTCAAAAGGCGGTTGTCATTCAGGGTATATTTGGCTTTCCCTGTCACCCAGTCGACTGGCCCTTTGTCCACCTGGTGCTTGATTCCTCGAAACAGCATGTAAAGGGGCTCCCCAACAGAATCCTGCCACAGAAAGGAAGGAGTATCACCTGAGAGAAATTCAGCTTCCATTGAAACATGGACACCCAGGCAGAGGAGGAGCAGGACTGAGGATACGGCAGGTAAGCCACAGCAGGCAAAGACTGAGCCTCTGCTGACAGCTCCGGCTCCATGCACAAGGAAAGGAATTAGATCAGAATCTGTCCTCCTCACGCATAGACCAGCCTATGGCCAGCGTGTCTCAAGATAAAAGAGCTATACTGAGCCCTCCATGACCTGGTGAGACATCTTGGAAACAATGAGTGGTATTAATGCTGACTTAAGCATTCCTGTCCCCACTGAACAGCCCAGCTCTCTCAATCCTCACCCCGAAATACAGGATGACTCTGGCACTATTTCAGCTATGAACAAGCCACAAAGCAAAGCTGTGGCTGTCTCCCCTCTTCTAGCCCCTCCACACCACAAAGGGACAAAGAGCTCACCCTCACAAATGCGTACAGGCAGATGGACATCCAGTTGGTTAACAGCTTCTCTACCACTGTTTCTGTCCTGAAAGAGAGCATGAGGTTGGTCACAGGAATATGGTTCAGAGCAGGGAGGGATTTGGAGATAAAGATCACACCCCTTGAGAAAAGAGCACACTGAATGATGATACAAGATCAAGAGAGAGTTTTTAAAAAAAAAAAAAAAAGACTTTAGAAACCAGTAAGGTTAATGCTTGTGATATCACTTATTTGAGGCACTTTTCAGCCTGAAGGAGGCACCAAATTACAGAAGTTGAGGAGGGACAAGGACACAGGACAGAGGAGAGCCTCTGGTAGGTCGCAAACAAAGGAAATTTGTTCACATCAGAAGGATGGACCAGACAGGAGGCTAATGGGGACCCAAACACAGGAGATATTTCAGTTTAGCTTCCAAACATGGCCTGACTGTAAGCCCAGGGGCTTCTAAACAGTAAAATGAGATTAGCAGACTTGGCAGTCCCCTAGTACCTGAACACAAGTTGAGAATTAATGTACAGCAGCTTCAAAAGAAGAGGAATTCGAGGTGGGCAACTCCAGCTTTCTACTCTTTTGACACCTTTCTTGCTATATTCCTTGGACAATTGCCAACTGGCGAGAGTAGTACCATTGTTACTGCTTCCTCCTGTTTGATGCATGTTGTCTCCACACACACTGGTCTTATAGCTGCAGCCCATGCCATGATGTTATCCTACTCACAGGAGTTTTGGACCTTGCCAGCTGGGCAGAAAGGCTCTGCCCCCTCAGATAGCTAGCAGTGGGACCTCAGCTGGCTCACTCACCTCCGCAGCATCAGCTTGGGGTTCTTGGCCACATACTGCTCCACAAGGTCATTCAGGAGTGTTTTGAGGATGTCAGTGAAGTACTCCAGCTTCCCATGCAGCGACACAGTGAGCAATGATGCCACATAGGCCCGGTCTCTTGGAGAGAAAGTGCGCTGGATTTCCAGAGTGTGGATGAACTGGTAGGGAGAGAGATAAGCCAGTGTGTGAATCTGCTGAAAACAAGGCAGTCACAGCTACTGGCTCTTGGAAGAAGTGATGCTGCAGGGAGCTATTCAGGAATGAACTTTAACAGGCACTGCCCGCTTCCTGACATGTCCCTGGCCCCACAGCAGGCTGCAAGCAGAGAGGGACATTACCTTGGTGAGGAAGAGCTTGCTGTTGAGCAGGTTGGAGAGCTGGACTAAGCCCTGCTCCACGGTTTGCCGCCGGCACTCAGGGATGTCCAGGTCTCTTTGCAGTGGTGACTCACGGTGGCCCGGGAAGAAGATGCGCTCTGCATAGGACTTGTAGTCCAAGAAAGGGATTCCTGTGCCCACAAGGTCACTTGTGAGGTCCATCATCTCAGTCATCAGGTCTGAGGGAAAGGAAATGCCCATGAGATTGACTACATGATCACACAACTGATGGTGCAGAGCATGAGGCGAGTGCAGGAACTAGGGCCAGCAGGATGGGATTGAGGAAGAGGAAGGATGTTTCCTATCAGGAAGAGGCACACTGGGGTCCCATTTCTAGAACATTTAAAACTAGATTAGGCACTGGGAGAAACGCATGAGGAAACTTCCAGCCTTAGGGAGGAACCAAAAGGTGAATTTGGTGATTATTCTCACTTAGTCAGGGGCTGGCTTCCAGATTTATAAAGAGGAAGCCACTGTTCAGCACAGATCTGTGGCTATAGGCACTACCTACATTAGAAGTAGTGTATTAGAGATCTCCTGTTCCTCGCTGCTACCCACATTAGTTGGAGGTTACAGTCTGAGTCACCTGCACAGTTTCAGAGCCCCAGGTCTCCCACACAAGGGCTCACTGCTGTAAGCAGCTGAAGTACAAGGTTTGCGGGCCCAGAAAATGGAGGTGTAATTCAACTTGCCCTACACAAAGACTGGGCTAGCTGTCCTTAAGATCTCTCCAAGAGTGCTGTCTTGACCTTTAGCTCTTAATCTGAGTTTTGAGGATGAACTGGAGAATCAGAGGGGTCTGTATAGACCACTGTGCTCTGAATTAAAAAGAAGAAGAATTAAAAATAAGAGGAATTTGGCTATATGTTTCAATGCACTGGCACAGGATAAAGTTATTGCCTGCTCTGAGCTACCCAAACAAGTATGCCGGAATGGAAAGAGAGGTAGGGCTGAGAGTGGTTCTTCAAGCTTCCCTGAAGCTGCAAGAACCTAGGAGCTCAGTGACTGACCTGTGAATTCCTTTTTACATCTGTCCCGAACACTTGTTTCCAGATTTTCCAGCTGGATTTGAACTTTCTTGTAATCCCTCAGAGCCTGTTTGCTTTTCCTCCTGCAACAAGAAGCAGAATTGTTCCCAGTGGCACTAGCCCAGGGATTGTCCTTGCCAACTGTTGTGTTGCTGCCAAAGACTCCAGGGCAACTGGTGTTGAGGTGATTTCCACTGAACATCATCTTCACAGGACACCAGTGTTCCATAAACTAGATGTGTCTCTTGGAGCACCCATTACATGTGGACTCTGAATGAACTGTGACCAGCAGGTGCAACATGCCCCACACATCCAGCAACACTAGGGGCTCAGAATTTGGCACAAAATAAAGAAAACTAGGACCTTGTTTAGCCCAAGATGTACATGCTTGGCCACATCCACTGAGTAATGTTGTATGAGGTCTTTAAGTTCCTCTACAATATCAGAATTTCTTACCTGTATATGAAGACGATGACCAGAACAATCAGTGCCACAAAAGATGCACCAACACCCAAACCAATTTGTGCCTCCAGTGGGAAGGTGAGCTGGCTTTCTGTGTCATACTGCACTCGGCCCAGGAGGAAGTTCAGGTTTCCCATCTGTACCTGTAAGAAAGCATATGCCACGACATAAGCTCTGTGCAGCAATGAAATGCAAAGCCACAGGGCTTCTCCAGAATGGGTACAGGTGGCATACAGCTCTCTAGCAAAGCTGTCCCACAGCACAACTCCTGAATCCAGCTATACCATTTGCTTTCAGGCAATATTTGACACATAAGAATAGAGTTGAGAACAAGAGCAGCTCCTTGCCACCTCTGGTACCTCCCCTGTCCCCCACCAGGGCTTTTGCCTTTCTGCCCCTTCCTGCTTCTACCACTAATTCTTGCTTTTGTTTCAACAAATGACAGGATTTCTTGCAGTACTGCTGATTCCCTACCGTGAACTCTGGGAGCAAGTCTGTGCCCTCCCGCTTCGTGCGGTGCCGTGGAGCTGGCTGCTCAGAGGGAGGCTCACAGTAAAGATGATTCCTTGTTAGTGTCTTCACCACACAGATTCCTTCCCCAATCATAGCCATAACTTCATCCTTAGAAATAGCTAGATCTAGATTTTCCCCCTGGAACAGATGTGGAACAGCATATCAAATCAGGGAAAAATCAACTCTGCATTTCCATGGCTCCAGAGAAGATGGAGGAGACCAACACCATAAGGTGAAAGCAGCATTTTTCCTTCTCTGACTAGGCTTGCATCTGAATTGCGTGCAGAAGTTCATTTTGTAAACTAAAAAATTCACTTGCATACGATTTAGATTATAGCTTTAGGACCCACACCATGCTGCATAAGTACAGTTATAAATAGCCTGTCTTCTTAAGTCTCTTCAGCCACAGCACAACTAAGCTCGACTCTTCACTCTATGTGTATATGCATATACATACACACAATGTGTATATATTTAAATAAGTAGTCTCATGTCAGTTAACCTAAGCACTCAGGTGAGTCAATCAATGCCTTTCACAGGTGTTACACATTTATGCTACTGTTTTTATCTGCTACACAAATATGCTTTAATTTTTGGGGATTAAGACTTTTTAAAAAATTTAAATAAAACTGTGCTGGCTGATGTTAATTACATTTTTATGTTTTAATGCTTTCTAAGCTGAATCCAGCAGCAGCATTTTCATGCTTTTCCCCAGAGTTCTGTCAGAGTATCCTGACAGGTTGGTAGATCAACCTCCTTGCTCTTTGAAAGCTTGCATCTTGTTAGTTCTCTTTCAGTCTTCCCAAATTGCCCTGCTTCTCCAAGATGCATTCAATACCAATGGCAGCAGTCTAGACATTTTTAGACTAGTACATCCTCACAGTTTTTACTCATAATTGAAAAAAAGAGCAAGTAGAGAAAGTGCATCTCCAGCTGCAGCCATTAACTTTCTTAATGAGTACTGGACTAAAGAGTACCTTTCTATATAAAAGAAATACCTCAGATTTTTTTCTTGCATGTACAGAAAAAACATTAGCCACTCTGCTCTTCTGTATCACCTTTAAAGAGTGATTTTCCTATCTCCACCTAGTAACAGGTCTTCCCTACTGCCAGGATTCTTTTACTCCTAAATTACTTCTAGAGGTATCTTAAAAAGTTATGAAAAAGCCAGCAGCTGAGAATAGGATGTGGGGTTTATTTAGTACTAATATTTCCTATACAAATAGCTTATTAGGGTTAAAAATAAAAAAGCATGCAAATTTCCACAAGCCCTATGAAGTCCTTAACAATGATTTACGGGCTCAAGAAGCTTTTTTTGACGCACTCTTCCCCCTTGTTACGTACCATTTCTCATAGGCCAAAGTAGATGTGCTGTGACAGGTTGTAAGCCTGTCAAATGCTTTAAAACCTTGGATGCTGCATGACACCAATTTAAAACACTCAGGTTAGAAACAACTTTGTACAAGGAACATTATTTCCAGATGATTTTTGTGTTACCTCCACAGAGATGACGCTTCCTGGCTTGTGACGATATGGTTTGGCAGGGTCTTCAGCATTCAATGGTTTTAGGATGGGGTTGACTTCGTAAGAGAAGGGCATGGGATGCAATGAGTTGAAATCAAAGCTCAGATTATCCAGAATAAATTCCAGTTTGATATGGACACTCCGCAACAGCAGGTTAATGGCTGGAGTTTTGCACAGGATCAGGTAGGAGGAGTTAACAAGACATGGTTCTTCAAACTAAATGCAAAAGGCAAAAAATGTGTCAGTAGCGAAACACTAACGCTTCTCCTGCAGCTTTGCAATACTTCCCAACCCTGAGAAATATGGGGCCAGTCTGCATTCCTCTCATCTGGAGCAATGCCAGAGGAACTCTGCTTAATCGTAGAGGCAAAAATCCAAGATCTGAGTAATTCCCCATGTTCCTCTAAAAGTTTTCACAGCACTGGTTTTGTTGCAAGTACCTCAGGAGTGGGTCTCAGCAGTGGGAATCAGCTCTGCCATTCCCCCAGCAGCAAATCCTGGAGAGGCATCAGCTTTAGATCTCCCTGCTCTGACAGAACAGGACCAAAGGCCTTCAATGCAAGGCTGATTTCCTAGCCTGAATGCTTCTGTGAAAAAAGTGTTCCTTCATCCAATTTGATACATTTTATATGTTTGGTGAAAGTATTAATTTTTTTTTTCCTCTCTTACAGCCACAAATGCCTTCCTAAGAACATAGGTAAAACCAGCTATTACTGATGCATGTGCATCAGAAGCATATTCCCCCAGTTTATGTACAGGAAGCCCTCCATCATTTGCACTAATAATGCAAATCCTTCTCGTACTTTGGCTGCCAAACACAACTACTTATGCAAATTCTCTGTGACCTTGATGATCACATCAATACCCCTGTCAAGATGTTGGCAGCCGGAGAGCAGAAAATGTTGGTGGAACTGTTAATTTCACTGAACTCTGCCTGGTTTTGTATCTCAGAGTGAAAGAGAGCCCAAGGCATATAGAGATGGACTGGACTATGCAAAAGGAAGAGTCTGGAGCACAGACATGCCGAGCCACACAAGCTCTCTGGCTCAGCTGTAGATTTCTTTATCTCCATGCTGCTGCTCTGCTGTTTCTGTCCCACATCACAAGTCCTGCACATCTCTAAGCAGAGGTAGACCCAACTCATGGAAATGTTTGTGAAAGTGCTTAACCTCTCAGTCTGGCAGGAAACACTTCCACTTGGCCAAGACTGTTGGTACAATCCAAGCAGATAACAGCAAGCACGGGGAAAAGCCCTAGGGACAGAAAGTCCGCCTCTCCAGAGAACACATCAACCCTTATGCACCCTCAGCTCCACAGCACTTTGCTATGCTACCTGCTGGACACTGCACAGAGCGTCCTTGGGGCACTCGGTGTCTGGGATGATTCTGCGCCATCGTCCCAGTCCTCGGCGCCGGCGTTCAGATGGAGAAACTGTAACTCGGATTTTCGGCTTCTGTACAACATCCAAGTTGTATCCATGAACTCTGAGCACCCTCCCTCCACTGAAAGAGAAAAAGTAGCTAATTTCACCCATCTATTATTCATTAACTCTGTCTCGCCCATGCCCCCACCCTTCTGCTCATGCTCATTCCTCAAGCTTGGCTTGACTCCAAAGCGCAGCTCAACACACAGATGCCATTGGTGCTGTAGTACCTGCCTCAGCACACAGCCCTGGGGAAGGTGCACTCAGTCTTTCTACCTGAGGAAGCTTTTAGGTGGCTCTGCAAAAGTGATGTTGGGATCCAGAGTATATCTGAAGAGGGATCCTTCCAGTCTCCGCTCTTGGTCCCCATATTTGATAGTGACTGGGAGTTCTGCAGACACATTGCTGGGACTCGTCTGGCATGCCAACTGATCCTCCGTCATCTCAGAGAGGCTTGGAGGGACAGAAGAGAGAACAAGGGATTAACACAGCCACTGCAGAGATGTTTTATAGTACTATACCCTGCTCTTTGCAGTCTGTAAGCCTCTCCTGCTATTTTCCTGAATTTAATGCTGAAAGGTTTTGGGCTTTATCTAAGCAAGTGATAATTGCGGGGCAGTTGTCAGTGAGCAGCACATGGACAAAAAGCAGATACAGCTGCTGTCCAGACTGAGAGACTGGAAGTATGCTATCAAGGCATGTGCACCTTCTCATCAGCAGTGCTGTCAGGTGTATGTGTCCCAGGATGCAAGAGAACAAGCAGCTCTTAGCGTTAGTCTGCAGGAGCCAACTGCAGTTCCCCATCAGCCAACAGAGAGCTGTCAGGATGGGGCATAGTCCTGTCAAAAGACATGCAGAACAGAGGCCATGTAGCACTGTTCATGTCCAAGGGAATGTGGGCAGGAATGTAAGATGGTCAAGGTTGCTGCCATGACCCTCAAGGGGAGGATCTCCTGGAACACAGAGGAGAGCAGAGCTCCAACAGCCTGAGCTAAGCACAGAGTCAGGCAGCATCACACCCTGCGGGGCTCTGGGAAGGGCTGGGGGCAATGCACAGCCAGCACATTGGCAGGCTCTGATCTTACATGTGGCAAGGGAGGTCTCCAAGCAGGACACTGATCTCACTAGGATGCCCAGTCAGCAGCTTTGAGCCCAGAAGGGTAAGGCAGGTTCCTCCTGCTTTGGGACCCTGAGTCGGAACAATGGATTTCAGCTCTGGGTTCTAGAAGCGGAGGGGAAAAAAAAAAAAGAAAAAAAAAAAAAAAAAGGAAAAAAAGGAGGTGAGTAACAAGGACCTCCAAAGATAAGGCAAGGAAGGAAAACAGCAGAACATGTTCAGTGACCTCCAGTGCTCTGAAAACAGAAGCTGTAGATCCCAATCACAGGCTCCAGCAGCTACCTTATGGAGCACAGGCAACAGAGGAGGCATCAATCACACCAGCAAGAGCTACGGATCAGGGACCAGTCTTTCCACAGGCTGCAAAAGGCAGATGGATGCTGCTAACAGCAGAGCTGCGAGCCTCACACACAAACCCTACGATTAACAGTTCAAAGGGATTGTTCAGATCAGTAACTGGATTAATAAATCCGGTTAAGAGAAACAACGTAGCAAATAAATTGTCTGTTTGTCTAGTATATGAGAAGATTACCAGCAGGGAGCCCTAAGAATTTGTATTGAGACCTGTGCTGTTAAACGTACTTGTAGGTGACCTGGACAAGGGAAATGAAATTTGATAAATTATTCAGAGTAACAAAAACTTAGTATCACTGAGGAGTTGCACCAAAATTTAGAGGAACGAGGCAGAGTGGCACAATTAAGTCACTGCTGATAAATGAAGAGCAAGATACACGAAGTGAGAAAGAGCAGGGAGACTACATAGCTCCTGCCCATTTAAGAGTGCTTTAGTACCTGTAACAACTTTACCAGCTGTAAGCACAGATCTCAACAAAAACACACCAAGTGGTAGGAATTACTTGGAAGGGAATTAAGAAAAAAGGTATTTATGCCACAGTAAAAATTTCTTTTGCACTTGTTTCTTCAACATAGAATACAGTTCTCATCACCCTGCCTCAAAATGCTGATAACAGAACCAAAACCAAGAGAAGAGCAACAAGCATAATCCGGTATGTAAAATGGTTCTATACAGCCAAAAATGGAATAGCCTAAGACTTTTCAGGCATCTCTTTCCCCTTCACGTGGGAGAGGGGGACATGCAACTAGGTACATAACTTGTAAGTTGCACAGCAAGGATGAAAAGTGAGTAATTGTATCTAAAAAGTGCTTAAGTATTATTTCATAGTTGCTGCGTTTAAGATATCAAAAACTTATCAGAAACATGTTTAAAAACAAGAAGAAACATTTCTCCATACAATGCACAGTAACTTTGGACTTACGGCTACTAGCTGCTGAAGGTCAGAAGTTAAAAGTACGTTCAAGCAGCAATTTGCAAATTAATAAAAGGAAAGTCAGAAGTCTTAGTAAGATGTTAAGTCACCAGTAAAAAAAAAAATCTCCCAATCAGAATGGTACCTGGATTTTTTCCTCTTTTTTTAAGCATTTAGTAGTTACCATTGTTAAAAAAAATTAAAAAATCACTAGACTACAGAATCTTTAGTATTATCCGGTACAGCTGTTCTTATAATCTAAGGAAGGGGTAAAAAAGAAAACAAAACACTTTTGTCCCCCCCGTGCCCCCATCCCCCGCCCCGGAACACCAGAAAAATCAGATAAAAATACCACCAGCAAGTGCCTGATAGAGTCCCACAAGTTCATGCAACAGACAGCCATTTAGCAAAGATACTGGAAGAACAGGAAGAGGTATTAAAGAAGCCATCATTATGTTACCTGATAGGTGAAAATATGCCCAGAAACTCCACGTCCTCCTCCAGGCACTTCCACCACAACGTGCCCAAATCTCTCTGTCCAGCTCCCGCCAGTGACGCATACAATACTGCAGGGCAATCCAAGAACAGTGTCACACCATGGAAGAGCTGGTGAGCTGTACCCATTGCACCATGTCCTAAAACCTTCTAACAATCACAGCTCCCTTCTTTCAGCCTTATCACATGCTCAGAATATATAACTGAACATTGAGAAACACCTTTAAAAGCTGGATTAGGTGCAGCAGAAAAAAGCAGGGAGTGGTTCCAAACAGGTCCATCCTATCCAAGATGATCGTTTCTGGGACAGACAGGATGAAGCCCACTGTATCACAGATATACAAAGAGTCCAAGAACTCTGCTATTGTCCAGAGCTGATCAAATCAATCACACCTGGAGCGACCCCAGGCTAGCCAGTGGTCAACCCGCACATGAGCGCTGTGTCTGAAAAACTCTGTAGGTTTAGCTGGCACTGGTCTTCAGCCAGTGGCCTCTGGGACCAGCCAGTTCCCCTGATCTGCACTACCCATTCTTCCCAGCCCTGTTTCCAGCCATAATTTGGTATGGGAGATGCTGACAATGTGAAAAGTCAGGTTGTACATAGAACAGGGCAGCAAAGAATCCCATGTTACAGCACAGATTTGCTAACAGCAAAACTACCCTGCAGGAGACTTCCCAGCCTTTCTACACTGTAGGAGATTGACTTTGTCTGGGCCTTGCTCAGGAGTGGGTTCCAGGTTCACAGCTATATCCCCTCAACCAAAAAGGTTCAGGAATTTGAATCAGTCAGTGCAGTCCCAAGCCAGGACCCTGTGATGCCAGGTGATTTACAGATACAGAACAAAGACGGTGCGAACCCCAGAAGGATTATGCTCTACATCTAGGATGAAAACAGAAAGCAGATGGATCCAGACAAACAAGGCGCACAGACAGGACAACACTGCTGAACACAACAGGCCATTCCCCAGCAGGATCTTACCTGGCTCCCAAAGGGAAGGGTGCTACAACTACTGCTACTATGGAATGGAAAAAATGGGTTTGCGACAGCTCTGATGAGAGGTTACTCACAATTGCTTTCCTCTTCTCCTGCTGGTTGCTTGGCTCCTCTCCCTCCCTTGTCTAAGGCTCCCACCTACCTGCCCTGCCACAGGCCAACTACACAAAATGTTCCTTTCTCCTTGCTTCCTAGCTACCCTGCAGTCACATCTCTCAACACCTGACTACACTGCCTTGTTATATGGTCCTGCCCTGGCCAGACACACCAGTTATCCAGTTCTCTATCACTGACATTAGCTGGATTCAGCAGGACAGGTCCTTTTACTTCTCATCCTTCTCCTAGCCACTACTTTTACAAGCATTGTATGATCTGCCAGGCACTTCTAGCACAGGGCCCACCAGGACTCCCTGGTCTGCCCCTGGTTGAAAGGGTCCTTTCATTGGATTTGTTCATGGGAAGTGGAATTCTGGCTGGCAAGTAAAGCATGATAGTCTAGGCGGTGCTCACTCAAGCAGAGGCAAGAATCTGTTCCGTACCTCCAACCATGTGTTCTCATCCTCACCCTGTGTTAACATGGTCAGGATATTGTCTTAGCAGTGACACTCACACAAGCCCTGTCCTTTGCTTTAGTGAAATAATCCTGTGGCTGGGAGACACACCCATGAAAGTGCATGGTTCCAAGCCTGTAACTCCCTGATTTGGCTGGCCTGTGGGCTCTGTACTGGCAGTGCGGTTGGTATACGGCAGCAGTGTTTGGCCATTGCCTTGTACACAACCTTATCTCTCTAAGGTCACTGCCTGAGTCACTCAATCAGATAGTGACCTTACTCAGGGGCACTCCCTGGGGAATGGGCAAGGCTCAATACCTGCTACAGCAAAGGCAATAACATCTCAGGCTGGTGTCAGCAGCCAAGGGAAAAGCCAGCGCCTGCCCCTGGGAGGAGGTTTCACAGATACTCTACCTGCTAGAGATCTCATACTCTTGAGCATCTACGGCACAGGGAATTCCTGCAACAGTGACAGTTTCTGCAATGTCTTGATGTTTCTGCCCGAGGTTTGAGCCAGTGATGGTGATTCTAGTGCCACCCTCCACTGGTCCAGACAGGGGGTACACCTGCAAAGACATCCGCGCATGTGTAAATGTCACAGTATCTCAGACCTCTGCAGTCTGGCAACTGATCTACAGCACAGGGCCCTTAAACTGCCCCATTACAAACTGCCTGGCTGGGTCACTGCTACGGATTCCTTTTATTGGCTTGGACTAGTACCAGGTTGCACCCTCATTAGAAGGATGGCCATAAAGAACACCACAGTCAGAGCCTTCTTTCCCATATCTCACTGTTGCCAGCAGCCCCCCCAGAGGTGATAATCCACTACAGACTTCTAAGGCAAGGACTGACCTGCTTTGCCTTCTCATCAACATGCTGACAACTCCATAGGGCATTTCTGCTCAAGAGTGGGAATGCATAAGCCAATACATGTAGTAGTATTGAAGCAGCAAGCACCATTCCCCCCCTCAGCATCAGTACGACAATGAATTGCATGCTGCACAAACGTCAAAGCTCTGTCCCTGAGCAGCATCCAAGATAAACTAAAACAAGATGCAGCACATGGATGTTGTGTGCCACTGGAGGGAGGACAAGCTGACAGCAAAAGGGACACATGGCTACAGACACTTTTCATGTGGCAGTTAGCAAGAAACATTTAAAATAAACAGACAAAAATAATCAATTCCATATTCCAGTAGCCTGTC